GGTTCTATTTAACGGTTCTCCTCGCTTTCCTCCTCGCCCTCCCTCATGATCAGCCCCCTTCTGCCCACTCCTTTCCACTGTGCTGAACTAAATTCTTTTGCTAAAAAGTTTAGAATACACCTTTCTTATTTCAAAAATTAGAATGTTAAGCATTAGGGTCATGGAATACAGATAATAGACTCAAACCTAACACGATTCATGAGATTTTTCTTTATCGCAGCCTGAGCCTGCAGAGCCCACCTCTTGACTCCACGTTCTTTCCAAGGGGATTATACTTAGGCCGACCTTGCATAATCTTTTTCCAAGGCTTCAGATAGGCGCATTAGGTTTTCTTTTTTCTTTCTTTCTCTCTTTCTCTTTCTTTCTCTCTTTCTCTTCCCTCCCTCCCTCCATCCCTCCCTCCTTCCTTCCTTCCTTCCTCCCTTCCTTCTTTCCTTCCTTCCTTCTTTCCTTCTTTTTCTTCTCAAAAAGCAGGAAGAGACAGGACAAGAAATACAAACAATGTACATTCCTGGGTGCGAAGTGCTGCTTGGGGACAGTGAACAGTCACAAGGAATGGAAAAGGAAGCTTCTTACTCCTAAAGCAAGACCGTGGACACGTAGGTTAACCCAGACGGGCAGGAGTGGGGCCATCTCATGTGGGTCACTCCATAGGCAGAGAGGCCCATGGGATTTACTCAAGTGCAAACAAAAAGCAACATATATTAAAGACAATGCAAACAATCTCTAATGCCTTGAAATTCAAATATGGAGAGTATGTCTATCTTCCTCGTGACCTCATGGGCTAAATTTTGTGTCTGAATGTAATATCTGGCTTCATCTTCCTTTTGTTTATTTTCTCTTACATTCATTTCTTCATTAATTATTTTTACCCTGTTATTCTGTGTGTGGTTTGTAAGCATCCTTAAATCTTTTTTTAGACTAGGATAGAACTGTTAATACATAAATTAGAATTGATTTCATAATATAAATTTCACTGATTTTGATTCTGTTATTTTAAGGCATTTTTTTGTTCTCCACATACTTGTAATTCTTTTCTATAGTATTTGATAATTCTTTTCAATAGTATCCTGTCTTCATTTCATGGAGGCAAACTATGTTTCTTCTCTTGTGTCTCTGGGAATATTAATAATAATTTTTAATAATAACTTTCAATTATGTTTCTTACCCCTGCTCAGTGTTTCCTAACTTCTTTTCCTCCCAGGCTTTTCTCAGATATCTGGTGATGCTGGGTTGTCTGGTTGGGGTGCTAAACAGCTACCTGGAAGCACTGAGTGGGTGGGTGGGCTTTATTGGAGATCGGTCTGCTTATGGGGCACCCCCAGTGTCAGGGTGTCTAGATGTTTCCTCTTGTGCTAGTCATCACCAGAAAGACCTCTCCCAGCCTCCAGGCTGGGAGGCAAAGGCCAGGCAGTAAACTCAGAACCAGGCAGAAGAGGGCTGGGGTCTCAAGGGTGAGCACTGAACATTCCACATGTGCATCGCCATTTAATCACCCTACGTGTAATGACCCTCAGCCGTGCTGACAAGCCAGCCCTCTCCTGAGCTTGTCAACCGCCAGTCCTAAGTGCCTCCACCCCAGCCCTGGGGGCAGGAAGTGGCGATGTCCCCCAGAAGTATAGAGGGGGTGAGGAGATCTAGGGGTCTAATTCCATCTCAAAGTCTTGTCTTCTGTCCTTCCCCTCTAACTGCCTGATCCAGTTTACGAGGCTGTTGGCGATTTGGCGGTTTGGTTCTCAGCTTTCCGGCCGGGCTGTGACTTTTGGTTTGGCTCCCTCCCTCTGCTAAGTCAACCACCCTGTCAGCTTTGCCGTTTCCCGTCTTTCGTTGTCGTCTTCGTCTCCTTTCCTATTTTCCCCATCCTTGTAAATTTCTATCTTTAAAAAACATGTCTCTTAACTAGAGTTCTGGCTTTATTTGGGAGGAAGAGATGCATTTTATTCCATCTGTCACGATAATCCAGGAGGACTTTAATTACATTATTAATTTTATTTTCCCACCCAACTCAATGACCCAACTCACTCTTCTTGGCGTTCACTGGTTTGAGACTGTGTATCAATAAATATCTAACTTCTTGGGCTCCTGCTTTTCTCTTCTGTAAAATAGGAATATTTCTGGCCCTGCCCACCTTCCCAGTTGTCGCCGCCGCTGCTCTGAATTCCCATATAGGTCTCAGGACAGAATAACCAGCCGTACGCGCGAAGCTCTGACAAAGTCAGGTTCACAGGGTGACAGTGACTACCCTCCCGGGTCAGTGAGAACGCTCAGGCCGGACCTCGGGCTTTCATCCCTCTTTCTGGATCAGCAGTGTCGCGTGACCCTTAGCTTTTATCGACACAGTCCTTCGGGAGACAGCAAAATGCCCCTAATCTGTGTTCGAAGCCACAGCCCCTCCCCAACCTGTGACACGGATGACCATTGTTCGTCCTGGAACTTTGGAAGAGGACGTGCCCTCCCATTTACCTTTCTGCTTTCTTCTCAGTGAAACACTCCACTTTCCTCCTCCAACGAGCACCTTCCCTCTTTCTCTTTTCCTGTCAGCCCACTTTCCCATCCCCCGCCCAAGTGGACACATCTTACCTGACACATTGTCCATCCCCCAGGCAGCACCTTTCCTCCCAAGGGTCTGCAGAGCCCAGAGGACCAGTCAGACCTTCCAGTGAGCAAGGCCAAGGGCAGCAGGGAGGGGCTCTATGGCTGCAGCAGGGTTGTCTGTCTCTAGTGCTGCTGAAGGGGCCAAGATCTCCCTAAGAAACCCTCCAAGCACCGAAAAGGGGACCTGTGGTTCCACAGGGACATAGAAGAGAACTTACCTGATCTGTTTAAGGGGATATGCGCCTCCTTTACTTTGAAAATACCCGGGCCTCTCTTTTTCCAATCCCACCACCTCCTTGCCCTTAACCATGGTGGAGAGTGGACGAAGCATCTTTAGCAGAGGATATACCATCTCCAGGAATCCGTCCAAATGGGCTCACATGTCAAGAGTGAACCCTTCTCCACCCAGGAGACATTTCAGGCCTGGCTCACTCTAGAGTCGGTAGTGGTGGCGAAGGAAGAAGGAACTGAGACTGGTGGCAGTGGAGAAAACATTGTGGGGACGTGGCGCGGCCAGGACAACCAAGGGCGGTTGAATAAGTGGCGCCAGCCTCACGGGAAGGCACGTTCCTGCCTTACTTCACGCTGGCTGTGCCTGATGGAGCCTATAACCAAGGAGCCTGCCCGGGAAGCATGGCGCACGTTTGAGCGCTGTGATCAAACGACCCTTGCAACCAACTTTCCTGTGACACATTTGGTGACATGAGCCATCAGTGCAGTGCAGCATGGTAATTAGGCGTGCTTGGCAGTTCACATAAATGACTGTAATGAGTATTACTTCCACCTGGCTTGGGCAGGCACTCCTGGGTCAGCGGGGGATGACAGAGGAGAACTCTGGAGCGGGAACCTGCTCGGAGGGTGGATTTCAGCCTGTGACAGTGACAGGGTCCTGCCAGTGTCTGATCTTCAATGTCAGCACAAGGACATGGACCAAACCCCTCGGGAGAGTAGAGGACCAGAAGGTCTTAAGCCAAACTAGGCCAGGATCTGCAGTGGCTCCCGATGGGGGTGGCTGGCATGAGAGAGGAATGGAGGGGGTGGGATGCCTCTCCCTGTGAGGTGTGCAGACCCCAAGGTGCTCCCCTGAGAGACAATGTAGAGCGTTTGTTTCCCGCGGCTGAGAAGAGCTTGTCCGTGCTTGCGTGAGGTATTGATGTAATTTGCTGTCAGGTGCCCTTCCCTCCACCTGCCCACTCCCTCCTTGCCTTTGAGAGAGGGCGATGCCCTTGGGGCCCCCCAGGCTCCTCTGGCAATGCCTCCAGGGGCAGAGGCACGGGCAATGGCCTTGCTCTGTGTGGAGCCCTGTTGGAGGGCCTGGGGCTGGTGATAGGCTCCAATGTAAGGTGGATAGGCTCCGCATAGACCACACAGGTGGACAGGGAGCTGCGGGGGAGGGGGTGGGAAGGTGGCGGGGCAGAGTGGATGGAGTCCATGACAGGTGGGTGGGGTGTGACCGTGCAGGAAGTAAGAAGCCTGCATTCCAGGGCAGCAGTGTGAGGAGGGTGGGGTGGGGTGGAGAATGCACCAGGGGCCAGTAGGGTACAGAATGAAACTGAGCCGAGCAAGTCACAAGTGAGGCTGACTGAGACAGGATGGCAGCTCTGCCCTGTCCCTTCTGCTAAAAATACCTCCTTTCCAGACAGCCCTCCTCCTCCCTGTGCCCACGCTGGGCTTTGTCTGGCGGGGTCAGTGAGGCATGGAGCAGGGAAGGGCCTGACCCAGAAAACTGGACTGCTCTAGGGTCCAGGGGGCTGAAAGGGTGTACTCCCGGGCTCAGTCTAAGAGCAAGAGGTGTGGCTCCCCACCCTGCAACCCCATATGCAAGGAAAACTGTGGCCTGGGAGCCAGCTTGGGGGGGCAGGAACTAGAAGCTGCAGGCAGCTTCCTCCTCACCCCGGACCTCCTGGAGAGAGCAGCACACCCTGGAAGGAGAGGAGGAAGCTCTTAGCAGGTGCTGCTGGACTGCCCAGACCCCGCCCAGATGAGGTGAATGACGCTGAGGTTAGGACCCGGGGGCCATCCAGAGCTGGGTTGGATGCTCACTGGGTGTAGTGCTTGCAGCCAGTTGCTCCATTTTTCAAACAGGAATAAAGACAGTACCTGTCTCAGAAGGCTGAGCAGATGCTTGGGAAAGACAGTGCTGGGCCTGGCACAGAGGAGGCAAGCAAGAAATGACAGCTGTTATGATGACGATCTCTCCCTGTACCTATGCACCAACTGTCCTGGCATGATTTGCACGTGAGGCTACAGTCAGCGCCGGCACTCGCTCCCCGGCAGAGGAGGCTCCACCGTGCAGACGGTCGCCTTCGTGCCCCTGCCTTCTCCCCCTCCGCCTGGGCTCGGGCTGCACCCTGGCCCCAAGTTCTAGGCTCTGATGCTAACTGTTGCCCTCCTGCTTCCCGCAGACCTGCGCAGGATGACGGCCGGCTTCATGGGCATGGCGGTGGCCATCATCCTGTTCGGCTGGATCATTGGCGTGCTGGGCTGCTGCTGGGACCGAGGCCTTATGCAGTACGTGGCCGGGCTTCTTTTCCTCATGGGAGGTAAGGCCGCAGGCTCGGGGGCGGTGTGGGAGGGATGGTCCTGGGTACTAGGCTTGTGGATGAATGGCTAGATGCAGGGAAGATGAAGGCTGCAACTCGGGTGGGGCTCTACGCATTCATTCATTCATTCATTCATTCATTCATCAAACACTTTTTGAGTCCGCTTAACAACTGGCCACTGTGCCAGCTGCTGGGGATGCAAAGGCTAATGAGGCGTGGTCCTTACCCTTGGGGATCTGAATGCATGGTGTGGGAGGTTCTGCAGCTGGCATTGAGAGAGGTCTCAGACCCAGAGCTTGCTTGAACCTAGGAGATACTTGGCATTTTATACACATACTAGACCAGGATGGGAAGCAGGTGCTGTCTGGGCGGTTCCCCTTTAAAAGTCTCACCCTTGATGTATGCGTCCTAATGCTGCTCCTGGTTCCAAATAGGACACTCCAGTGATGGTAGGACAGGGCCAGACCTGCCCTCATGTCTGCCTCCCTTACTGTGTGTTACTGCCACAGCCATACGCGCAATCTGGTCCTTGTAAAGGGATTGTGGATTCGGAGAACTCTGTGGCTGCAGGAATAGGTCCCAGTTATGGGAAGCAAACGTTACCCCACAGCCTGCAGGCGCCTCTTTCTCCCTGAGGAGCTAAAATGTGCTTTTCCATCTCCTCTGTGAGTCAGTTCAAAGCCAGAGGTAACCACTAGGTATGCGCCTCACAGTCCACTCCTCAGAGAAATGTGGATCGGTGAATGCATGGAGCTAGGTGGTGTGTGTGTGTGTGGGGGGGCAGTTAGGGGGGATGGACAGAGGGAATTAGAAATATTTATGGAAAGAGGAGAGTGAGCTCTACCTACAAAAACAAATGTCTGACGTTAGGTGCCACGTGCACGTGTCCAGCTCAGGCCCCTCGGGTGAACTGCCTGGTTCTAGGCACCTGAGCGGAGGCGGGAGGGAAGGAGGGGGTCAAGCTGGGAAGGGAGGCGGCCGGCTGTCCCTCTGGGTGAGCAGAGATCTCTGGGGGCTGGTGAGCTGAGGGCTGGGCGAGGAGGAAAACGGCACAATTCATCTTGGGGCCTGACTGTTGGGTCCTACTGCAGAGGCTGGTGGAGGGAGGGTCCAGGTGGCTCCCTCCAGCAGTCCCCACACCCCTCCTGGCCTCCCACAAAACCAGCCCTGCTTACCTTTCTCACGCTTGGAGTCCTCCTCAGTGAAACAAGGGGTAAATGCGATTTCCGAACTCTGTTTTAGTAGCAGCTGAAGCCATTTCGTTTCCGCCTTCCAGTCAAAATCTTGCGTGGACCCCGTAGTGTTAAAAGATAAAAGTGGAGGGGCTCTGTTTGTAGTGGGTGTTCTCATGAAGACTCTCTTGGTTTTACAAAGACAGGCTCCCGTAACATGGGGCTTTTCTAAGGCTCTGGAGGGGTCTCCCAGGAGCTGAGAAGACCTGAGCAAACAGGCCTTGGGCTGAGCAGAAATCCGGGAACTCTGGGAGCTGATGCTCTTTTATCGCCTCCTCTTCTGAGATGTTTGCAGCTCCCTGCACACTGTCTCCTCTCCACCTGCCTCTCTCCAGGCATGTGGCTTACCTCTGCCCAGGTGCTAAGTCTCCAGGACCTTCCAACCCTGACAACTTCCTTCTGGGCTGCTGACATCAGCTCCCGGAGATAGACTGGGAATGCTAGCATCCTTTCCAATAGCCGTGGGAGTTCAGAGGTCCACAGCAGCTGCCATCTGCTGACCCCATGAGCTGGGTTTGGTCAGGAGCTAGGGAGGAGTTGACTCAGGCACAGAATCTGTGCCCACCCCCACCTCCCCATCCCTTTCTCAGCAGAGGGAGCTACACCGAGAGGCTCAGGTGTCAACCTAGAAGTGATGCTCTGACTATAGAGCCTGTGTGTCAGAAAGAGACATGTGAGCACCAGCCTCTCCCAGAACCTGACCGGTCCCTGCCCTCCAAGAGTTAACCTTCTAGGGTGGACCTGTTGAAGAACTTGGGAGTCAGCTCCCTGTGACAGCCTCCCCCTGGACACAGCAAAGCAATCAGTCACTGAAACCACAGGTATTTACGGGCAAGTGGGACAGAATGGCCCACAGCCTTGGCTGTCACCCAGAATGGACTCCAGGCCTCTGTAACTGAGCACAGACAGTCACCCAAAGGGTTAGATGGGGCGACAAGTGAGACCAGGGCCCAACAGCAGCATGCTGGGGAGCTGGCCAGGCATGGGTGTGGTGAGCAGGTCGGCAAGAATGAAACAGGTAAATTTGGAGTCCAGCGTCTGAAGTTGGAATGGCAGGTGGCTTTAGATGAAGGGACCAGAGCCAGATTAAGAATGGAAGAATTCTATTAACACCCTCTTCCCTGTCCCAATATGAAGGAAGATGGCCCACCCTGGGCGCTTCTCTGCCCCCGGTTTAATGGTTTCCCCAGGCTCAAGAGAGGGCACCCCGCATCTTGTGAAATAACTCGCAACAAATTGTTTAATTAACACTCCACCCAGAGGAGGCAATTTAACTAGGGCAGCTTTGTGGAGCCAGGAGGCTGGGGGTGGTGGGTGGGGTCCAGTTTTCCCTTTGGCCGGGCCTCCAGGGGAGAATCTAGCCCAAACTGGCACAACACCATTCGGGTGCCAGCGACTGCCAGAGACAAGTGTCTTGATGAATCATCAGTGGTATTCAGAGACGCAGGAACAGGCTGACACGGGGGAAAGGCAGCACGGCGAGGGAGCGTGTGACGGCCGCTATTACTTGTGATTCACTCGCTGGGCGAACCTCTGAGCCGCCTCAAGCACACGGGCCTCCAGGATGCTGTGCGCATCCAACCCATGCTCGCTCTCATCAGCACCCCGATCACGCATCCTCCCACACTCTTGGAAGACATCCATCATCTCTGCGCCGCCCGGGGTCTGAGCCTCCATGAGCCCTCGCCTGGGCTGATGCCGGAGCCGCTATCTAGACACCAGACTCCACTCTGGCACCCAACAATCAGTCCTTCACAGAGCAGTTGGCATGATTTTTTTAAACTATAAATCAGATGTATTACTCCTCTGTTACTCATCAGTGCTCCAAAGGCTTCCAGCGGAACTGAAACTCCAAATTCCTTTCTCTCCTTTAGAAGCTGTCTCCGTCAGCTTGGGCTGCTATAACCAAGTACCATAGACTGGGCAGCTTAAACAGCAGAGATTTATTTCTCACTGTTTTGGAGGCCGAGGAGTGTCTGGTGAGAGCCCACTTGCTGGTTCATAGATGGTGCCTCCTTGCTGTGGCCTCCTGTGGTGGAAAAGATCACGGGAGCTCTCTGGGGTCTCCTTTCTGAGGGCGCTACACGCCACTCATGAGGGAGCCGCCCATATGAGCTAATCACCTCCCAAAGGCCCCTCCTCCTGGTACTATCACCTTGGGGGTTAGGACTTTGACATAGGACTTTGGGGGCACCCAAACACTCAGCCCATAGCAGGAGTCCTATGTAATCTGGCATATGCTAGCTCTCACCTCCTTTCCTATTCCTCTCTCTACACTCATTCGGTCACTCCAAACGAACACTGCCTGGAACACACACAGTTCTACGTCACGGCCCCAGAGCTGCTGATCCTTTTGCCTGCAGTGCTGTCCCCACCAATGCCTCATGGCCCGCTCCTTCCTAGATTCAGAGTGCAACGTAAAAGTCACTCCCCACCCCCGAGAGGCACCGTGGACCACCAGGTTAATGAAGCCACCCAGTCACTCTCAGCATGTTAATGTAATTTTCTGCAGCCCACTCATACTTCCTGTAATGTTCATTGTTGTTGTGTTTTGTTTTCAGTTGATTGTTTGTTTGGTTTTTTTTAGCAGCTTACAACAAACATTTATTATCTCACAGTTTCCCTGGATCAGAATTCCAGGCACAGCTTAACTGGGTTCTCAGAGAACTGTAATCAGGTGTCAGCTGGGGTCGGAGTCCTCTTCCAAGTTCATGATGGTGTTGTCAGAATTCATTTCCTTGCAGCTGTAGGACTCATGGAACTTTGCTTATTCAAGGCCAGAAGGAGGGAGTCTCTGGCTTCTTCCATCTCTGACCTTTTAAAAAAAAATTTTTTTAAGATTTTATTTTTTAGAAAATTTTAGGTTTATAGAAAAATTGGACAGATAGTACAGAGTTCCCATATTACCCTTTGCCCCTGCACACAGCTTCCCCTATTAATAATGTCTTATATTAGTGGGGTACATTTGTTAAAACTAATGAATAAATATTGGTACATTCTTATTGACTAACGTCCATCCTTTGTTCAGATTCTGCATTTTGGCCTGATGTCTTTTTTTCTGGTTCCAGGATTGCATGCAGGGTCCCCCATTGCATTTAGTTTTCATGTGTCCTTAGGCGCCTCGTTCTGTGACAGTTTCTCAAGCTCGCCTTGTTTCTGATGACCTCGACAGATTTGAGGAGTGCTGGTCTTCCATATTGTAGGATGGCCCTCCACTGGAACTTGTGTACCACCATGATTCATGACTATTGATGTTGACCTTGATCACCTGGCTGAAGTAGTGGGTGTCAGGTTTCTCCTCCGTGGAGTTAGTCTTTCTTCCCTGTTTCCGGACAGTTCTCTTTGGAAGAAAGTCACTAGGCACAGCCCACACCGAGGAGTGGGCAATTAGGCTCTGTGTCCTTTGGGATGGAGCATTAACGGAAAGTATTTGGAATTCCTCCACATGGGAGATTTGTCTCTCTTTCCCTATTTATTAATTTATTCAATCATTTATTTCTATCAGTGTGGACTCATGGATTATTACTTTATACTTTGGGTTATAATGCAATACTGTATTTCTTTTGTTGCTCCAGTTCCAGCTTTGGCTATGGGGAGCTCTTGCAGCTGACATCCCACGTCCCGTTGACATACTCCTATCACTGTGGGGTTTTGTTTTTGTTTGTTGTTGTTATTCTGGTGTTCTGAACACTAAGATTTTGGCACTGCGAGGCATTCCAGTCTCATCTTGTATATTTTCCACCCCAGTCGAATCAGCCATTTCTCCAA